TTTTAGCGCGAATATTGAAATTAAGTGTATCGTAAAGTTATATTCGGAAGGAATAAACCAGTTTTATTAAGTAAAGACTTGTGTCGTTAAAGTTTCGTCGGAACGAAGTTACAGAAAAATCAATTAACAAACGGAGACGTAACAATATTCATAGCCTTACTGTCTGGCTTTCTACTTACAAATTGTTCGTGCATCTTTCTGACAATTTTCTTTCTAAGTTCTTTCACCAATTAGTATCTTCCTACCTCAGTTCTCAAGTTTCTGCAAAGTCACCTGTTTACTGGGTCATGAGGTCAAGTCTGATGAAGTAAGTAGTAGCTGTTATTTATCATACCTGTAGAGCATGTTTAACATCCTGAAGTCTCCACATTCACCCTGCTATACTTTGGGTTCGTTATATCTCATATGATGTAAAATGAGGATTCAACTTTTAATCTATAAAAAACAGAGTTGCCGTTACATGTTTGAAAAGTGCTAGATATTTTCCTGATTGTGAAATTGACTCCATCATTTAGTTAGATCTTCCTCTTCACCACATGGTAGAAGTGCCAAGTCTAACTGATATCTCAAAACTTCATGTAGAAGCTGGTTTGTGTATGTGTGTGTTAGTTTAAGAGCAAAGCCACTTTTTTTTTAGTATCTTCTGTGTCCACCACAGGGAATCAGACCCCTCAAACACCAGATTTTAGTGTTGTAAGTCCATAAACTTACCACTGTCCCACCAGGGGAAGGTATAGAAGCTGATCATGTTCATCTGTGTCAAAAACGTGATTTAAGTAGTGAAGCAGTGTTTGACTCACTTTCCACAATACACTATGACCTCTAGTCAAATGGTCTTTTTTCTTGCACATATTTGGCAGAAGCAGCTTATGCATCTGCTTTCTGATTTTTAAACTTTTACTAAAGTCTGTCTCCCTGATAATTATTTATGCACCATACCAAACATGCATGTTCTTGTTATCCATAATGAACTTTCCATCCATAATGTCTCCAAGTTCATGGATTTTCTGGCCTGAAAATGATGGAACTTTTGCAGCTGGCAGTCACGAAACTGGTAGATTATGATATCCATGGATTGAAACACCATTACATATAACTCTTAAAATAGTGTGAAAAACAAAAGCTGCAGTTCTATTTTAGTGGCTTGAAAAATCCTTACTCTGGCATCCTATTTTTCCAATTACTTACATCATCTGTCATTGTTTCCTGATTTCTCTTTAACCACATGCCCATGTTAACATTCCTATTCTTTTACACTGCCAGTATGACTGGGGTAGCTGTATTTCAAATCTTTAAATATAAAAGCAAAGTAGAACACTTTAAAATATGCTCAGAGAAACATCATCAATTGAAAAACCATCTCTGAGAAAGGTACTTTGATGGCATCAAGAATTTCAACCCCAAAAGCTCACATATTTCACTGAAGAACTGATTTAAGCCACTTGACTCTTTAAATTAATTGTGTCATTCAAAAGACCTTCAAGCCACCTACTTTTTAGATCTGTGGTTCCCAACCTTTTAACCACTAAGGACCCTGCTTATTATTATTTTTTTCCCCACGGAGCCCATGTTTTTGAAAGATTCTGTCTACCCACAAACTGTTTTTATTAACTCTCTCAGTATGGTCTTGGTCGATTTGACCGATCACATTACCTCTTTGTACTCATTTAGTCTTTATGGATTTGATACCACTAACTTTTAATATGATGTGTATATCTTCATGAAATTTGACATTCTTTCAGTAAACATTATAAGTCTTTCACATACAAAAAATTATATTTTTTAGTGAAGTATTTTTAATTAAGCTAAAAACAAATTTGTCCTTGAATATATGGAGTGTTTGTTTTGAATAATCCATTTGCAAAGAGATTTTCATGTTAAGATTAAAAGCACTTTTCTCCATCTTAAAAATCTCAAATTTCATTTATGCAATCTCTAAAACCTCCTAAATACATTTCAAATGTTTGTTTTCAGAAAAAAAATTATATTTTATCTGTTACTTTCTCTACCCTAGCTCTATATAAGTTTGGTTAATTTGACCGACCTTGTAACAACTAAAAAAAATTCAAATAAATGTAAATTACCTTTTTTTCTTTCCATAATGACTTCAAATTGTAACATGAAACTACATTAATTTATCCTAAGTAGCTTTAAACTCGTAACAATATATATCTATTTATAATCAAATTTAATTGTTTTATTGCTTTTTGAACTGTCTAACTACTATTCATGCCATTATAAGTTGTAAATCACTTGGAAAATGTGCAACTCACATTACATTACCCACGAGCTGCTCATGTGTGTGCCTCTTGAAACATTTTTATTATATTATTACTTATTTTACCTAATCTAACCTTAACTAACCTAAAGAGATCCATATTTTTACATTTTAATTACTTTGATAATAATAAATAAAGAATAAGCATGAAAAAAGGAAATGAAGTACTTACCTCAGTACTTTTTTTTTGCTGTTGACTGTTGATGACACTTAACTCTACTTTTTTTATACTAGTGGTAGTAATGCACAAAATTATTCTTATTTAATTAAATAATGCACCCAAGACGATAGAATAAAAACATGTAAAAAGCAGACAATTTCCCATAACTATCACAATTTATCTGGCTTTCTAACTATGTGACAAGAGCCGTTATAAGTTTATCCAAAATAATCGTTATCTTTCCTATGGGAACAAAGCTCGTACTGACAAAGTAAATGACAATTCACTCTTCAGAAAACAGCATAATATAATAAGTCATTTGATAGATAAAAACCTTGGATTTCTATTGGTCATACATAATATAGTATGTATTAAGAGTAAGAGAGAACTATTAACAAATCCTGAAAGAGAGGATGTGACAGGTGGGTGTAGCAAGAGGGGTCTGGTTTTCTATTTGATGGTTCTGTAACCAAACAAAATTGAAAGCTATAATAATTATGGTTTGTCTGAGTAATGAGAATTTTATAGTGAGTAATTTACTTTAAATTTCATACTTATTGGATGCTTGGTGAATAAAATAGAGAAGATGGGATGCCTACAAAAAATGTCACCCTTCTCAAAGTTGGGGAAATTCAGGATTTTTTCAAATATTGCCATATAAAATTAAGAACATAAAACTTACATAATAATAAAATATGGATTATTAGCTATGATTTTATGATATGCTAATTGTTTTTTACACAAACAAAAAGTAGTTTCATAAAAGTTTGAATGTGAGCCAATAAAACCTCGTGACATTCGCAGTAAATGATGCCCGAGCAGATAGGGTTAATTAATCATTTTCACCATCAAATAAAAAACATATATAATTGAATGTGCAATTAAAAGAAAAGCAGTATTAAAAAAAATTACTTGTTTAATTAGATGGTTGATGTTGCTTTATTGATATTATGTTCTGAATTTTTTCCCATTAGAATGCATCGAAGAGCTTAGCATTATTACTACTTGCTTTTCTCACATACTTAGAGAGCCAGAAAAAATGTGACATTTATAAAATTGTCACAGCTTTCTAGATGTTATAATTCTGTGTCCTTTTGTGCAATATTTAATTAAAGAAAATAGCTCATGAACCTCTAGTATTACCTTCGCGGACCCCAGGTTGGGAAGCACTGCATTAGATCAATATGCTATGAGCCTGTTGCACCTAACAATAAAATTTCATTGAGTATGAATGACATATCATTTCTGCATATTTTGTAACAACCTATTTTTTCAACAAAGTCCATTAAAATCTAATATTTTTTTTAATTCTCTGTCTATTACTCCAAATTATTATCCAACTAATTTTCTTTGTAATATGGCCACTGCTCTTTCATGGTCGTCTTTAGACATAACAGTCCATAAATCAATAACAGTACCTCCTTTGTACAATAGTTTTCACAAATGATTCTCATGATCTTAACAGTTACTGAGCTAACTGTAATTTTATAGATACAAATAATAACATATCATATATTACAAAGTTATTTGACAAGTTTACACCACGAGATTTACTGAAGCCACACTTCATTAAACCTTCTACAGCACATTATCATGTCCTATAAAACAAGTGTAACTGACTTCACTTCTTGGAATCATAATTTTTTTACTAGTTTTATTAATAATTAAACATAAATTGCATGGAATGCAATTCAAGGAATTTATTTTCTTACTTACCAACTCTGGCTGACTCCAGAGATCTTCTTCATAGTAAAACAATCCATCATTAATTATTTTGGCAAGATCTTGAGTCATTTTCACCCGTGTAATCCAGTCACCAGTCCTGTCATAACCTTCATGTTTCCGAGGAGGCGGTGTTTGTGTTACAATAATAATCTTATTGATTTCATGATCTCCCAATTCATAATCTGAATCATCAGACCTATATAAATATAAGAGAAAAACTACAGTTGTCGACAATATATTAAAGTACACATTTTCACTAGTTAACAAACTCTGATTAGAAAAACTAGAATAGATGGGGTTTTTCAATAGACAATAATATCATAAAATATTCTAAGTTCATATTTTTTATTTCATTTTTGCTGCAAAACCAATCAACTAAGCTTCAAATGTTAAATGAACCATACCAAAAATACAATGAGAACAATCAATAGTTTGTTTCATAAAGATACAGTATTTCTTAATTTTATATTATTAAAAAAGTTTTATTTTCTTGTTCTTCGTCCTGTTAATTTGTCACTTGTGTGATATATTCAAACAATCCTTCAAGGCAACTGCAGTAAGCAAGTCTCAACCCCAAAGTATTTCTGGAAATACAGTGGTCACATTCAGCATGGACTCCCCTACTCCCACCCCACTGTAATAAGACTCCAATAAACAACAAATGAAATTCAAAATATATGTAAATATTATGCTGACTTTACTATAAATTCTCCCAAGAGCTATAGAGCTATATACAGAGCTATAGACATTCTTCTAATACATAAATGTGTGAACAGAGTTAAATGATACTGCATAACTAATCTTATTAGAAGGTGAACATTAATATTATATATAATTACAGTAAAAGCAAATAATACTTTATATATCTTTATATGTGCAACATATTTTCAACTATTTGAATCAGAAGATCATACATTTTGGAGGACAACTTTCACATTTCTACCACAGTCAATCACAGTATAAGACATTTTGACATTTCAGTGCAGTTTCATATCTAATTGACCAGGCTGGGTTCAAAAATATAAAAAAACAATCACCACTCCTGATTATCTGTGTCTTGCTCATTATTTGAATTACAGAGATTTTATTCTGCCCAACTTACGGTTAGTAAAAGCATATTATTGTTGCAAAGAGACTAACCTGTAAACATTATAAATGCACTTTTAATGTGAGTCTAAATATACTGATGGTTGTTTAGGTAAAGCAGATATTCATTGCTGACAGTCCAAGGCAAAAACAAATATCAAACTGCATTACAGATGTGGGAATAAATTAGCAGCTGTATTTCTTCATCATTTCAAGATTACTGACTAAGGTGCAAGTTATGCAGCAGTCTGAGGACTAACAGTGAATTCAATGCAAGTCTCTCAAAACAGTGGTGACTATTTGATAAAAAGATATTATCACCAACAGCCACAAGCAAGTAACACATTCTGGTGTCAGACCAGTTTCCCAGAGACTTAATTAAAAGATTATCTATATCTTGCCAAGAGACTGTTTGAATACCACATTCAAGAAGTGCCACTTCAATGAAGAATGTATGATTGATATTTTTCACAAAAAATATTTCTAACTATATTAAAGATGTTTTCAAAATTTTCTTTGTTTTAGTTACTAGTTATCTCATGCAAGTACTTGTGAATTTTTGGACTCAAGAATTACAACTGCTACTGTATATTTTGGGTTACATGTACATGCATCAAAAATTATTCTTATAAAACATATTAAAATAAATTAAATAAAAAGATGTTTAAAATCAGATGTATAACAAACTAATGACTACTTTCTCTTGATTGAGATTGGTATAAAATATGTCAGACCAAAAAATCATTTTTAAGTTATGTTCTTCAATTTATCTCAACCTAGTACTTTAGCATCAGACAAATATTCAGGGTATTTAACATAAGAAGTATTGAGCTTTAATATGCTGCTGCTTTTTAAAATTATATATTTATTATACAGTGTGGCATATACTGCAATAATTGAGAAAGTGGTAATCATTTGCTAAAATATAATATTTACAACCACATAAAATTTAATGTGTGAAATAACCGTTACCCATGAATTTTAACTCGGTTCAACTCAAGTTATAATCAGTAATTCTGTAAATACGTTATTTTTTCAGCAAATTTATCACAAACTATATTAAATAACATGCTTCCACACACACACTCAAATTGCATCTAAAAACTCTCTTAAAAATGCAATTAATTTAAAATTTGGAAAATACCATTTGTAGCAGTCAGCATGTTCCATGTAATTTTTAGCATTTACTTGACATTGTTCTAATACTCTTCTTTCATTGGCTTGGTTCTTTTTAAATAATTTGGTGAAAATAAGGGCCAGTACACTTAACATAAGGATAACAATTTCACAGCTAACTGACTTTGTAACTGAGAATATGTGATAACTAACAATGATAAAAACATTTCACCGAAACTAAAAACTTCACTGCTTGCTGAAAGCAAAATACTCTTTCACTATTTATCATTACCAAACTAGTTGTCTCTTCAAATCTATATCCGTAGCCTTGTTTCTAGATACACTGCAAAATCTCTCAATCACTATATTCCCAAACATTCTAGGTATTCTAGTACTTAAAGTCTTCTGCTCATTAGCTAACATCTAATTTACAAAAATAAAACAATAGACTAAACTGTCCATTCACTAAGTCCTTTTGGTGGTTTATTCTTACAAAGCCCATGATATACAAATGGATATCCTATTATCCCTTGTCATCTCTGGCTGTCGTGTTGCTTAGGTAGGTGATCAAATGATTCCACTGAAGGCTCTATCCTTGTTGATCCTTTAGAAGTGGTCTCAACAGGAACCCTGGGATCCTTAGTGGGTTGAGTTTCCACTGACAAATTCTTCTCTGAAGTTACCCAGTTGGCCATTTTAAAACCAAAGTACTTCCAAATAAGATCAAGTGGATAATCTATCGTTCTTCATTATGTACACCACATCATTGAATTTTTTCAGTATAACATACGGCCCTTCCAAGTATCTGCTTAGCTTCGGAGTTTATCTTTTCATGCAAAGGAGATTGTACAGCCATATCGTTACACTACAGTGGAATCCAGTCTTATCGGCATTAACACCTTAATGACTCTTCAGCTCATCACTGGCTGATTTAGATCTTTCCCAGATAAAGTCATGTATCACACATATCTCTATATATTCTGTGTAAGGCTCTCCTCTAGATTAATGTACATAAGGTCCAATGGCACTATAAATTCTCTCCCAAACATCAGTGATGATGGTGTGTTGCTTGTAGATTCATGTACTGTTGTAGGATAGCTCATCATTAACAGTGGAAGATCTTGATCCAATGTTTTCTGGTGTTAATCCACATAAGTGGCTAACTGACTTAAAAGTGTGTGGTTGTATCTCTCCATCATACTCTCAAAAATAGAAACAAGCAAGACAAATTCAAAGTTCCATCCATCATTTGAATGAAGTTCCATAGACATACCAAATCTTGAAAGAAATTCTTTGATGAGTTTCCTTGCTAGTCTCTGCTTCCTGTTTTAGAACAGCATATGCTTCTGACCATTTCATGAAATAGTCAATCATAACCTTTATGTATTTATCAGCAGTTACACTGTGGCAGAGGACTAAACAAACTGACAGCAACTCTCGTAAGTGATGACAATATTGCTGTAACTGCTCATGCTGTTTCTTTTGTGGACCTTTTCACACACAGCAGAGATCATGTTTTATACCAACTCTCTATATATCCCCAGTACCCAAACCAATAGAAGTGTTCTCTTACTTGCTTCAGTGTCACTTAACACCTAAGTGTCCAGCCATTAGAAAGTTGCGGAGGTGACAGTATGTTTCAAAATGCTGAGACTGTGGAAATATCAACTTTAGCCACTGCTTTTGTCCACTGGTACCTTCCCATTTGTAACATGTACTCTTATAAGCATAATGAATCTCAGATTGCCCAGTACATCTTTCTCTTTGGGTTTATGGAGCAACTATTTGCCATAAGAATTTTTCTGCACTATTCATGATCCACTTGATAATTGGTTTCAAACTCACACCTTTTGCCTAAGCAGTTTCAGCTGAGTATTTAGCCATGTTAGTTCATCATCATCACTTGTGGATGTCACATGTGGATTATAACATGTTGAACTTTAGGTTGGTAGTCATTCTTATCTAGTTCTTCCCTCTTTTCAGTGTTTACATTCTTCAGCAACACATGGTCTTCAAGATAATGCATTCCTATGGTTCTGTCAAATGCACTGCATGATGTCAAGGTTGTACACCAGAAGTTTTTGAAACCATCTAGGTTGCAAAAATTCACCAGCCACTTCAATGCCACCTAGAACTTTTCTTAGCCCTTCATAAGCATTATCAAAGGTCTTCGCATGTGCGATTAGGTCATCCAATTAGATGATAATGATGATGCAGAGTATTTCAGACAGAGCACACTCCATTAATTGTTGAAATGTAGCAGGAACACTAGACAATCTAAATGGTATCACAACAAATTGCCACAATTCATTTCCTGCAATAAAAACTGTCTTCTCTCCACTTGCTTTGTCAAGTAGCATTTGCCAATATCCACCTTTAAAATTCATTACTGAAACCCTTTTTGATCCAGATAGAGTATCTGAAGTAGAGACAATCCTTGGCAGTGAGAAGGCATCTTTCTTTTTGAATTCATTCACCTTTCAGTAATGCACACAAAACCTTGTTGTTCCATCCGTTTTCTTCACAAGTAAAATAGTTGATGCCCAATAAAGAGTACTTGGTTCTATAGCTCCTTATTTCTTTGAAAGCCTCAGTATTTTTTGCATGAGAAAGTCATCTGATTAAATGATGTATTGAGGCTCCATCTCCAGAATCAACCTTATGAGATATTTAATTTGTTGGGTCTAAATTATGAGATACAATGGAGAAGGTACACTAATATTCAGTGATGTCATCTCTGGCACTGATCAACTGTAAAACCTGCACAGCTCCAGCCATACAGTTCTTGTAAGCAAGGTGGTAGGCTGGGCTTATGAAAGGATTTGGCATCAGACTTCCTACATCTTCTCTCAACGGTGCCTACTTTTGATGTTCTTTGATATGAAAGTAACACCTGTACAGCCTCACATCTTGCAATGTACCATCTAGATTATACCCAAATTTTATGATTTATTGTGTTTATGGCATCTTTAATATTTAGATCCATAAGAGTCC